CATTGTTTATTACCTTGTCATTCATTTTCTTATTCTATGGTCTCTGTAGGGCATACAAATTGGCTGAATCCTCTCTTGAGTGTCAAGTAGTCACTTTCCGGTACATTTTGCTAGTCAGTTTTAATTTATTTGTTATCTGTTACATTACTCCAAATACTTATATTACATTGACAACCTAAACCTCTCAGTCCGCACATTTTTTGTTACACTTTGTAAAAACACAGACATCTGAGGATAGATTCGAAGCGATTTCTAGACATTTTATTTTCAAATAGTGGATGAAAGTATAAAACATTTGTGCTCCAATAATTTTTAATGCTGGGCATACTAATGTTAAATATTAGTATGCATAAACCAAGAAATGTACACGGCTCATTATTATCGACTGGTGTCCAATGTTTCATTGTCGAATACCTTGTCAAATTACGCCTGAATATTTCGGCACGTAAATTTATCCAATCGCATATTTGTTCCTTCAATGATTGGTCAAAGATTAATGCAAATATTTCTTCTGTAGTACTTGTGGTTGGGAAATTAATTTGTATACCAGCTTGCTCTGTAAATTTAAACAACGTGGGTTCACTGTCGATATCTTTGAGTTCACTCTCGACAAGTTGAGATCTTTAGCGCTTGAGCTATTTGGTAATGAAGGTGCATAACTACTTCTTGAATCCGAGTAAGCTTCCGGTATTTCCTCAGAAGTACATGCCAAAACTTCATCGTTGTCTTCAGCCATTATTTTATCAGCTTCTTCTTGAACCTGTTTACGTCGTGACATACTTCAGAAAATCTAAAATAAAATTCTAATATTAGGTACTGCTTTATTTTAAGTTCAACATAAATGAAAGTATGCAAAATCGTATTTATAATAAAAAAAATTATATAAACCAGATTGAAAAAATACTTAAAATAATTTAATGGATCATTAAATGTGATAATAAGGTGCTATTGTAAAATTTAAAACAAGAATGTTAAAAAAGGATATTTGCAACCCGTATTTATTAACATAATGTAAGTAGTATAATGAGTATATATGTAGTTAGTTATGACATACCCTGTATATACAATTATTTGTAAAGAAAAAATATAAACCATCTTCAATATTTAAATTTTAGGAAACAGTTTTGACTTACAAATACCTATAAATACGTACAACACACAGTTATAACGCACCACAGTACTTTCTAAAATATAACCTCACTTTTACACATTTTACGTAGGTAATTAGTGGTTTACATTATTATTAAGACTACAAAATAAGGAGTCAGTAATAAAATAAAATACTTGCATATAAACACCAAAACAGCGATTTAAATCAATAAAATGTGTTAAAATAGCAAAACATAGCAAAGCAGCAAAACACGGGTTGTTTGCCGGCAGTTACAAATGAAATTGGTTAGTGACTGAGAGACCATCCGATACAATCACGAGCCAGACCTTACTATAGACCACTGAAAAATATGAAACCTTTACAGTAGACGGGTACAACAGAAATCGAATAAAATAGTAATATTGCTAATGGCTCATATTTGAGACGGCAGTCCAGCAGAAAATTGTGAGTGGCTCTGAGATGGGACGCTTGGTAGCGAACGAGTTAAGTAATAGCAAAGAATATAGAAGAATCTTTCACTGTTATTTTTGAAAGTTGGCAAAAGATGATCGCACGTTATGAAAAAGAATGAGAGGGTGGGTCGAGATTTTAGTACCAGTAGGAAGCGGTCATGTCGGCGCTATTATTGCTTTTAAAATATAAAAGAGTGGGGCAACAAATGCAACAGATATTTTTATGTAGATGCCGTGTGGCTGTAGAATAGGATTAAATTTTTGCGTTTTATAACATTTTTTAAAGAAAATAATATTTTAATAAATCAATCCTATTAGAAAAAATATTATGATTCAAATTTTTAATTTAAATATGTACAAATCTACAAATAATATACTTAAAACTCTCTTCTTATTAATTATAAATAAAATTAATTCAATCAATAAAGTCATCAATCACCGGAATTAAATATTTCCAAATTTTCTAAATTTAATAATTTCTTCTTATTTGTTTTTAATATAAAATAACATAAAATGTAAAACACAACACTGTTTTTCTGCAGAATAATGGAAAATTGTCCAAAAAGTGGAAAATTAAATTTTTGATTGAAAAATTTTGAAATTTTTAAAAAATATTTCGTTAATTTTTGGGCAGAAAAACAGTATAATAAAAATTTATTTGACGGTTTTTCGTTGTGTTGGAACAAACCTATTTTTAATTCAAAGTTATAAACTGTAAAAAATAAATGCTTTGAATATTGTAAATATCATACCTTGTTAAGTTTCAAAATTAAAAATTTAACAATTTAATATATTAAAAATAAAGATTTTATTGTGAAAAAAACCTAAAAAAGCACGGGAATTTTTTTAATCGTAGATGCAAACTTAAATAAATAGCTCCGTTCATACTCCTGTCCCACTTTCCCCTAACTACATCTTTTATGATAGTTTTAAGCCGACTGCCAGATGTGTTTTAAAGTATAAACCGTAACCAAATCGCCCATTTGAACTGTTCTATAAGCGTCTATATTCTTTGGTGATAGCTTTCTAACAAAACAATATCTTACCAATTGTTGTAGCAATTGATGTAGATCGCTCAGGTTGACTTTCTTTTCCTTCTGAAAATAGTTTACACTATAATAAATCAACCATTAATGAAAATTAAACCTTTAAAATCAAATGTATTCGACTGTGATTTCTCAAGATGAATCTTTGAAGTGAGTTGCAAATGTTGCTCCTCTATTTCGGTTAAGGGTTTCATGTGTATTTGGCACTCCCGCAGTGGCACCAATTTGAGCAGCAACGTTTCAAATTTTTCTCTTTACGTTCATCTTTCACTTATTGAGCACGTAAAATTTAAGCATTTATTAAATTTGATAGCAACAGAAATTACAGTTTTCTTACATGTCTTCATTGTTCCCTATTTTGTTAGGGCCATCATCTGTATTTGCCGTGACAGCAAAATCCTGCCACAGATGAGCTACTTTTTTAGCGTTTTTGTTTTGCAGTCCACACTCCATTTGTTTTGTTTTGTCAGCCAGCACTATTTTGTTATTTTTTAGGAAGTCTTAACACCATCAATTGTTTTTTTTTAATTGGAGCGACTATTTTATTATAGTTATAAAAAATGCAAAATGTTTTAAAAAACACATAAAACGGCATGTAATTTTAGACAGGTAAAGATAACATCTACATAAGGTAAATTACTTATCAAGGTAGGCAAACCGTTATACTTAAACGATACATCATACCGATTTGAATTTTTTTTCATAAACGTGTTAACATTTGAGTTTACACGATACATCAAAGCCCCCATTGTTTGTTACCTGAGTTGTCTGGTAATTTGCATAATGACTGTAGACCAATTAAATAAAAAATAAATATTTTTTGCCTGTCTTGCACAATTTATGGTTCTTAACTTCTGTATTGAGTGATTTTAAGATCACAGTATATAGTGCTAGCCAAAAGTCCTCTCCCCCCTTTGTATCTTTTGTACGGTTACTTATAATAGTGAAATGTGGGGGAGGAAATAAACGAACGTATTCTTCTCAATTAGTCGTAACAGGTGACGTAATAGTGATGGATGACGTTACAGAGCCACTGTAACCAATAATTTTAAATCCGATCGTATGGCAAGTGATTCTCGTTTGAAAGGTTTTAAAAATCTTTCTATCATACTAATTTTGTTTGGTTTTAAGCTGATTTTGATGAATAAATTAAATAAATACTAAAATTGTAGTTTTGCCTTTAATTAATAAATATTTAAGAACCATTTCTTAGATTAAGTGTTCAAAATGTGCCCTATCTACTTCCCGACAATAATGCATCATATTACTACTCTTTCAAATCTGTCAGACGAAATTCCCCTTCATTCTTCAACAATTTGTTGGTTCAAAATGTCAATACTGTTGGGTGCTGTAGCGTAAACCTTAGATTTCAAGTACCCCACAGAAAAAAAACGGTGTGAGGTTCTGTGACTGAGCTGGTCATTCTATTGAACCTGTTCGTCCAATCCATATACCACGATATTCCTTATCTAAGTAACGCCTTACTGCACCATAATAGAATTCTAGTCTTCGGTAGGGGTCATCTGAAAGTTGGTCACAATTTTTAATTTGTATTGATGAAATTTGTTTTTAGCCAACACACGGTGTACTATCCTTTGACTGATTTCACAGATAGACGCAACTTGGGCTCATTACCATATCTGCAATTTGTCAATTTTTTTGTCATCGCTAATTCTTGGTCGACCAGATCGTTTGGCATCTTGAACATTACCTGTTTCTTCAAACTTCCGAAGAAGAATCAAATAAGTTCTCGATATAGGGCGATAGGGTACCTCTCATTAAAAATACGTTCTGCTGTATGGAAAATGTTTCTACATTCACCAATTATTAAGACAGCTGCTACGTTGTCGGCGTACGTACAATTCTGTCTATGTAAACATTTAAATGTTTCGTTAAACAATAATTAAACTAAATATTCAAGCTATAGCACTTTAGCAAAAACTTAGCAAAGTAAAAACAACTAGAGAATTCAAAAATGTCAACTTTTTTGACAAAAGTCAACAAACAGTTAGAATCTTTATTCATTAAATACGAAACTATAATTTTTGTATTTATTTAATTTATTCATCAAAATCAACTTAAACAAAAACAAAATAAGTATTTTCAATGTGTCACTTGCCATAAGGTCGCATTTAAAATTATCAGTCACAGTGAGTTGTAACGTCACCTGATGACTAGTTGAGAAGCCTACATCCTTTTATTTCCTACCTCCAAATTTCACTATGGTGTATAACCCTTCAAAAGATACGAGTGAGGAGGGGAGTTTTAGCTAGTACTGTATATTGGGGGATTAAGATCACAGCATATAAAAAATGATAAATTTCAATAAAAATTGTAACCATTAATACCGATTTAATTTTTGGTTATAAGTGTTTAATATTAATATTTTAGAACATGGCGAACCTCTCAGCACAGATCTAAATAAATATGAGAATACCACCAATATGCAGGAAAATGAAACGTCCGATAAAGAAAACATTTCAATCAGTATTACAAAAGAACAATTGGAGCAAAAATGTCGGACTTGCTTTATTAGAAATGGAACAATTAACGTATTTACTAAATACCACGAAGGAATCTTATTTCGTGATTTATTGCAAAAATTTTCTTTAGCTGAGGTTAGTTGGTTTTACTTGTTTATTTTATTTTACTTACACTTTACTTTTACTTAAACTTTAATCTTTTTTTAATTGTTTTCCAATCGTTTTTGTGGAGAAAATATAATAGCGTGAAAATTAATTTTTTCCTCTTACTTTAATACTTTTAAGTATAGCCGTCTTCTCCTGGGGCGCTGTTATTTTTCATTTCTCTTAATAGACAGAGAAATTAGCAAAAAAAGGCCTTTTTCGTGACACTCTGATACAAGTATCTAGCAGCTGCTTTTGAAAAATTTGGTGATAACAATATGTAATACAAAAATATGCAAAAGATTAAACTTCACTTTTTACTTATAAACCATATATAAAAATTTTGCACAATTTTGCTGAAAAAGCATAAAAAAATCTTTAAACTAGAGTTTGTGCAGTTATTTTTGTTATTTGTTGCTTAATTATTGAAAAAATAGCTTTAAAACTAGATTTTCTAAAAATTATTAATAACTTTTCTAAAATTACACAAAAAACTTTGATTTAGCGTGATAATAGGGACAATATATATGTATTCGGCTATAAAAATTTCAAGAAGTTTCTTATATTGTAACATTGTAACAAACTGTAACAAATATTGTAACATTGAAATTGTTTATCGCCAGAAAGCTTTTATCTACAACGTAGATCTAAAGTAGTAGTATCTAAATGTCAGTTTAACAGGGGACTGTTTGATTAATTTGAGGACAGCATTTTCACATAGATATTTTAAATAAAAAAATAATGGCAATGTCTAAAGATGCTTACCAGTTTTCTTACGTATTTGGATATTTTGTATTCAGTTATTAACGACAAAAATAAATACTTATAACAAGATTTTTAATTCTGGAAAAAGGGACTTATCAGGGGACGTGTTTTGAGGTGTTGGAAGGTTCATTTATTTAAAAATTCCATTATTAAATTCCGAAATGTACAGTGACGTGCTAAGACTACCTAATAATATTTATTGTTACAAAAAACTTAAAAAAATTTACATTTATTTCATAAAATTAGCTTGGGACAGTGATTTTCCGTTTAGTGGAGAATTACTATATGACAAGAAAAGAGTATATACAGGAATTTAAGGACCGAAAGGTAATAGTTAGTGAGACAGTGAGCCAACAACATAAGTTGCTTGTGCTGGACATCGAAGTAAAAAGCGAAATTAAATCAAAATATCGGAGAGGACTACAAAAAATCAAGAGGTAGATGTTAAAAGATAAAAAGGAAGCCTATTCAGGGCAAAAATACTAGAAACAATGTATTGCAACATGAAAGGAAGTCATAACGCAATTTGGAGGAAGATGGCCAGGATCATTGGGGATACTGTTATTGAAATACCAGGAAAAACGAAAAAACTACCTAGCGGTCGTTCAAAGTTCAAGAAATAATAAGAGAGAAAATATTATATGAACAGTGGGAAGAAAATAGGTCGGACACAGATCTTAAATCTATAGGGGTCTATAAAAAAGCTAAAGCAGAAGCATATACAAATTTATACGATCAACTTGATACCAGGGAAGGAGAAGCAAATATATATATATATATATATATTATATATATATATATATATAATATATATATATATATATATATAATATATATATATATACAGATTGAACCAAATTAAAACGGAACATACAATTTAATACATGTCTGTTTGAACTGCATTTGAAATAGTGGACCAATAAAAAACTTGGACAAAAATAAATCCATACCTGGGTATAGACATTGTATAAAATATCGTTCAACTATCTGTCTCACAACAATGTTGTTTGCGTAAGACGGGTTTGTCTAAGGAAACGATAATAGTTCAGGAAATGAATCTCGAAAAAAGTTAAAACCTCGCAATTTTTTCGTCCTGCATGTATCAAGTTGAAATTTTAAAAGAAGGTAGGTGATAGCCCAAGGATCAAAATCTATATCGAACCGAAGTGCGCTGAAGGGTTTTAGGGGTGAAAACTACCCCTAATTGTCAAAAATTATAAAATAACATATTAAACCTGAATATGAGTAAGATTTGGTTTGAATTAGTTAAATCATGATTATTTTATACTTTTGAATAGAGTTCCATCATATTTCAACCCTTAAAAAGCAACCCTTGTTAGAGGTTAATGTAAAAAAATTACTAATTCTAAAAAAATGATTTCGCCTTGGATCGATTTGGATAAAAATTTGGATTTAAGCTCAATTCACCCGCTGCTTTATAGTTTATGTCATGTCGACGAACCCTGATTGTTCTAAGGGGTGAAAACTACCCGTAATTGTCAAAAATTATAAAATAACATATTAAACCTGAATATGGGTAAAATTTGGTTTGAATTAATTAAATAATGATAGTTTCGTGCTTTTGAATAAAGTTCCATCATATTTCAACCCTTAAAAAGCGACCCTTATTAGAGATTAATATAAAAAAATTAGTAATGCGAAGAAAATGATTTCACCTTGGAACGATTTGCATAAAAATTTTGACTTAAGCTCAACTCACCCTCTGCTTTATAGTTTATGTCATGCCGATGAACCCTGATTGTTCTTAGGGATGAAAACTACCCCTAATTTTCAAAAATTGTAAAATAATATTATAAATCTTAAGATGAGTGAAATTTGGTTTGGATTAGTTAAATATTGATTTTTTTATACTTTAAAATACAAATTCATACATTTTCAACCCTTAAAAATCAATTGTTATGAGTGCTATAGGTGAAAACAATTTTTTGCCAAAATTTTGCAACTTTTCAACTTTTGAAAATCACCCTTTACAACATTGCAGTTTTTATAAACTAATTTATAAGATATAAATTGAAAAAAGTAGAATTAAATACAAAAAAATTTATCAACATAAAAAGGCACCATTTATATTCTTATACATTTACATAAATAGTAGAAAATATGTACATTTATAGGTAAAACAATTATAATATTAATTTTATTCGTCATCAATTACATCTTCATCGTGATCTATGTCATCCTCATCTTCAATTATTGGTGGACTATTATTGCACCCTTCACCTGAGCACCCAGAACAAGTAGAGTTACAGTATAAACCAACTTTTCGGCACCCACATGAAACACCGCATCCTTTTTTGCATTGTCAAAAAATAATTTTCAAAAGTTCATCGAGTGCAGGTTGTTTGTTCATGCGTACGGGTAATAACAAACCATCTTTGGAATACCATCCCCAATCTGTTGCTCTAATATTTTCATTGCCAAGCCATAGACATATGAGCAGATGTTTTATTCTGTTGTATGGGATTTCAAAATAAGAACGCTTAAAATTTCGATTGTATAACGCCCCACTAGCTAATATACCGGTTTTGTAGATTACTATGCTCCGAAATGTACTGTACTATACTAATAGAATTTTCCGGAAAAAAATTCACTGGTTTTTTTAACGTATTTCTTTTAATTTTTAACGATAGAGTGTTTCTTCAAAAACGATTTGTAGAGATTTTTAAGAGCTACAAGGATGTGTGAATTAAATCTTTTTGGAACCCTTGGTTTTTAAATGGGGTGAGTTTAAAGGGCTCGAAAAAGATGGTGCTTGATCGTAAATCGATGCTTTAAACGGCTATATCTCGCCAAATATTCATTGTACAACAAATCTAAATGAAGGATAATTTTATTAATTAAAAAAGCTACAATTTGGTAATTTGTATTTTTTTCATATATTCAGTATTTTCGGGCATATTTAAAAAAAGAAGGGTAAAAAATATGAAATTGTAAATCGTTTCTCGCTTTAAGCTGTACTTTTTCATACACAAAGCATTTTAAATGGGTCAAACTTCTTGGACGTATTAACAATACATGTACAAAGGGAATTTCAGAAGGGTAAAGATCGATTTTAATTATGAGGGAGGTTAGGGTGTTGTTTCGATTTTTTCGTAAAAAATGAGGTATTGACCTTATTTTCATCATGACTCACTCAATTTTTGAGCTAGAGTCTTTTTTATGATAGGTCTATTTATGCTCTTTAAAAAAGGTTTTGTGAGTTTTCTTCCAAAAATGCATCATTTTCCGATATTTGATTTTGAATCTTTAAAATTTGGCATTTGAAGAAAACCGCTGAACATTGATAGGCCGTATTTCGGTTCCTATTATATCCCAAAAACATTTTAAAAAATGAATTGTATTTGTCTTTTTAAAAGCTACAAATTTGTTTTCTACAATTTTTTTGATAAAATGCACCATTTTCGAATTATTCGCGAAAAATCGATTAAAAACGTGGATTTTTTCGTCTAAAAGTTATTACTTTCAATCGCGGATAACTTGAAAAATATCATTTTATAAAAAAAATGTATAGCACATTTTTTGTTTAGAATCATTTTTTTAATCGAAACCTGTAGTTAAAACGTAAAAAAAAATTTCACCCCGGAGATGGGGTGGCAACCACCACCTAGGCTTTGGCCCACTTTGGTTCGATATAGATTTTGATCCTTAGGCTATTACCTACCTTCTGTTAAATTTCAAGTCAATCCAGGGAGCACGAAAAAATTGCGAGCTGAAATGCTTCATTTCCTGGACTATAACTGGTTTGACAGCATAAATCGTAGATTTATGTGTAGCTTTCAATTTTTATGAGTTCAGAATCCAGCAGCCCGCTGAAATATTGGATTTTTATAATATAATTATTTGACAATATTTTGTTGGCCAACCACCTACAGCAGAATTGAGCCGAAATACATTATATTCCTATGTTCCGAATTTATTTCGTTCAATCTGTATATATATATATATATATATATATATATATATATATATATATATATATATATATATAAAATAGAATAACATAGAACAAAGAAAACCAAAGATTTTAATTAGATTTTATTTATCTGTGATGAAAATAGAACTCTTGTTCCAGCCGTTTTCTACCAATCAAATTTGAATGGTGTCACAAAAAACCCCACTGTTACCAAAACCCCATCAATCAGACATTTCTTAATAAAAAGTCTTAATTTTTCGATTTCTAAAAAAAATATAAGTAAATATCTGCC